ATTTATTTATAATTAATTATTTATTAATTTATAAAAATGTATAGGCAGCTCATCTTACCTCAAGGTAATTCTTTTAAAGGTTAGTGCTTAACTCTATGCCTTCTGTTTCATTAAGTTTGACTGCAGGCTTTTTTAAAAAAAAGCTGATTAAAAATGAACTTATTGGAAAAATACCACTCACATAAAATGAAGAGGCAATTGCCTGTGTAGCTTGCTTCAGATTTGTTTATTTTTACATGTTTAATCAACAACTAATGCTGTCTTTTTATCATCTAAAGGCAATGGAGGACAGTTTAACAGAAAATTTAGATAACTGCTTGTGGACAGTGTTTTGTATAAAATTTGGAAATAATTTTAAAAAGCTTTGAGAAACTCCCACAAATGAGGTCTACTTGACAAAGAAAATCAAACATTCTGAATTCAAAATCCATATTATTACACAACCATCCCTAAGAAATACATCTCTGTTTGTATGTATATGTTATTCTTACCATGAGTTCATATTCTTTTAAATGCTGAACATTCCAAGAGAACAAAGAATGAATCAAAGGAATATTTTTTCTGCCAGTTTTTTAATATGAATAGGTCTTGACTAGGACCAAGGGTAAATTATTTAAAAGGTGAAAAATCTCTTTGTAATTAATTTATCTTATCGGGTGTTATATGTTCCCACAGTGTATTGCACAATGCCTTGGGCACAGTTGGACAGTCTTATTGTATATAAAAGTTATATTTCAGATGCATGGTGAGCTTTATTGGTTCTCTCTTCACTTTTATGAGGTTCCATTAAAACGAATACTTTAGGCCATTTATTACCTGGCATTAAAGCAAAAGGGTTTTAACTGTGAGACAGCTCTGGACTTGCTTCGTATTTCATCTAACAGTTTTGTGAGCTGTGTTGAACATACCAGAATGGCACAGGCATCAGCAATTTTCCTTTCTCTTTCACATCCTTTCTCTATGCATCATTTTTCTGGTCTGATTATAGACTGTTCTTTAGCATTTTTTGGACCAAAACCTTAGCAGTACTAAAAACGGTTTGCCCAGTGGTGAAATGTAAAGTTTGTTACTACCGGTTCTGTGGGCATGGCTTAGTGGGTGGGTGGGGGGTAATATGACTGAGTGGGCATGGCCAACTTTTTTTTTTTTTTTTTTTACTTTTAAAACCATTTTTTCTACAACCTTTTCAGCTGAAGAGGTTGTAAAAAAAAATGCTTTTAAAAGCCTCTGACGATCCCAGCTGACTTGTCTGATTGGCAGAGGTTTTCTTTTTTTTTTTAAGCCTCTGAGGATCCCAGCTGACTTGCCTGATCAGCAGAGGCTTTCTTTTTTTAAAAAAACAACATTTTTTCTATAACCTCTTCGGCCGAAGAGGTTGTAGAAAAAAATGCTTTTAAAAGCCTCTGATGATCCCAGCTGAGCTGTGTGATCATCAGAGGCTTTTTTTTTTACTTTTAAAAGCATTTTTTCGGCCAAAGAGGTTGTAGAAAAAATGCTTTTAAAAATTAAAAAAAAAGCCTCTGATGATTGCACGGCTCAGCTGGGGAATGGGTTGGGGGGGCAGGGATTTGTTCTCAGAACCACCCGCCTCCATTGCTACCAGATCAGGTGATCCGGTCCGAACCAGGAGCATTTCACCCCTGGGTTTGCCGTGTTTAAAAATAACCAGATGATTTCATGGTGGTTGGATTGTACTTGCAGAGGGCCTGGAGTAAAACCTTGATGATTGTAATGATCACACTTGAGAGAGGCAGAGACAGAGTGGGACAGACAGCTCATTCAGGTCCTTCATGGTCTCTCGGAAAATTGCAGTATTATTTAACATGATATTCTTCCAGGCCAGCATGAAGCAATGCCATTAAAGTCATGTTCCGGTAACTAAAGACTATGAAGGTTTGAATAGGGAAGAATAAGCTCAGATTCACCTTTAGGATCACTGAGTGACTTTGAGTGTTTAGACCTCTTAATAATGGTGATTTCCCATTTTTGGCCATGAAAAGGGTTACACTATCTGGTTTGGATCTAGTGTGCAATCTGGGGTTCCTCTTGGATTTACAGCTTCTGCTGAAGCATGAAAAGACAGCTTTGGTCAGGCAGGCTTTGAACAAGTTCATTCTGTGCACAAAGTTGTGCCCTTTGCTGCTGTTTGAGATCCTTCTTATTGGTCACTCATGCCCCTGATCACTTTGCAGATAAAACTATTTCAATACACTATACATGGAGTTGCCCTTAAAAATCCACAAGCTACTTGGTAGCAAATGTAGTACAGGTAGTCCTTGACTTACAGCTATTCAAAGTTACAACAGCATTGAAAAAAGTGACACATGATCATTGTTCACATTTATGACTGTTGCAGCATCCCCATGGTTGTGATCAAAATTCATGTGCTTGGCAACTGATTCCTATTTATGATGCTTGCAGTGTCCCAGAGTCTTGTGATCACTTTTTGTGGCCTTCTGACAAGCAAAGTCAATGAAGTCAGATTCGCTTAATAACCATTTTACTAACTTCACAAATGCAGCAATTCGCTTAACAACTGTGGTAAGAAAGGTCATAAAATGGGACAAAACTCACTTAACCCCGGACCACCCCAACGATGCCCTTGAAGTGATGTCCCGGTGCCTGGAGGCTGTGCGGATCTGGATGGGGAGAAACAGACTCAGGCTCAACCCATCCAAGACCGAGTGGCTGTGGTTTCCGGCGTCCCGATATAGTCAGTTGGTGCCATCACTGACTATTGGGGGCGAGTCGTTGGACCCCACGGAGAGGGCTCGCAACTTGGGCGTCCTCCTGGATTCACGGCTGTCTTTAGAAGAGCATTTGACGTCCGTGACCGGGAGGACTTTTCATCAGGTTCGCCTGATCCACCAGTTGCGTCCCTTTCTAGATCGGGACTCCTTACGCACAGTCACTCATGCCCTCGTCACTTCCCACCTGGACTACTGTAATGCTCTCTACATGGGGCTCCCCTTGAGGAGCATCTGGAGGCTCCAACTGGTGCAGAGTGTGGCCGCGCGGGTGGTTATGGGAGTGACGTGGCGTTTCCATGTAACACCTCTCCTGCGCGAGCTGCACTGGCTCCCAGTAGTCTTCCGGGTGCGCTTCAAGGTTTTGGTCACCACCTTTAGAGCGCTCCATGGCTTAGGACCTGGTTATTTACGGGACCGCCTGCTGCCACCAATAGCCTCCCACCGGCTGGTACGCTCTCATAGAGAGGGGCTCCTCTGGGTGCCGTCGGCCAAACAGTGTCGACTGGCGGCCCCTAGGGGGAAAGCCTTCTCTGTGGGAGCACCTGCTATCTGGAACGAGTTCCCCCCGGAGATACGGAGGATCCCGGATCTACGCACCTTTCGCCGCGCTCTTAAGACTTCCCTATTTCAACAGGCCGGCCTGGCCTAACTTTTTTTTCCCCCTTTTTAATTCAAATGATGAATTTTAAATTTGTCTTAAAAACATTAGGGTTGTTTAAATTGTCACGGGCCAAATTATTTAATCAGATTTTATACTGTTTTTAAATTTTGTAATGTATGTGTTTTATCTGGCTGTTCACCGCCCTGAGTCCTGCGGGAGTAGGGTGGTATATAAATCTAATAAAATAAAATAAAAAATTAACAACTGTCTTAGCCAACAACAGACATTTTGGGCTCAATTGTCAGTTGTAGGTCGAGGACTATCTATAATGTGGTCAACAATAAATGGCCTGGGCCATGTCTATATAACACCAAGGCTCCGTGAACTGAACTGGCTATCATCTGGCTTCTAAGTGCAATTCAAGGTGCTGATTGTCATGTTTAAAGCCTTACATGGTCGATAACCCTAAAAGATTATTTGGCAGTGGGCCATGTCCCCTGATTTCTCTTCATCTGGGTAAGATTCAGCAGAATTGGCTCTCTCTTGTCTAGCCAATCCAGCGGTATAATCCAATAGGACTCAGGAGGCAGTCCTTCAGTGTCACAGCATTTGTCCTCTGGAACAGCATCACCCTCAAGATTTGCGTGTACCTCCCCCCCACCCCCATAATGGCCTTTAAAAGAGCCTTAAAACACAGCTCCTTCTCCAGACCTTGAGTTAAATGATTGGGGGACACTGTTGTCTATTTTATATGTATGGATATAGGAGAGTTGGTTGTTGTTCCCTCCACCTGATTCTATTGTTGGGGTTTTATTTTGACTTTTGCTGTTTTATGTGTAAAGCGATCCAGAATAATTAAGAGTTGAGCAGCCTGAAAAATAAATGAATAAATAAATACATTTTATATAGAGATGGAATTTTCTTTAGGTGCAGTCTGATATCTCTAGCTAACCAGAAGTCCACCCGAGGAATTCCAGAGCTCTTGGCTAGACTGAAATATTGAAACATCCTTGCAGAAGACAATGACAACAAACTATTTCCATAATATAGATGGATGCGTTCACCAGGAGTCAAGCTCAACTTCTCATTGACCCCACTACAAGCCCACGGCATTTGGGCTTATATTATAAAACCATAGATAACACTTCCCCCCCCCATTTTTTGTGAGCGCTGTATCTGTTGTTCTTTACTGCTAACAGCTGACTGACATTTTCTCCATACAGATGCTGCTTGGGCCAGAACTTTAGAAATGAAACTTTACTTGATACTTTCCCATCATTTATTAGGTTTTCTGTTCCAAGGTTTAGATATTGCCAAGAATGCAGTTGCTGTGTGATACAGTCTCTATCTAGAAGTTTATACTATTGTGTAACATTTGATGTGTTTAGGTTCCATTGCCTTTGGTGAATTATGCGGTTGTATCCCTTGTACATTACGGAAAGAGAGAAATGCAAGTGAATATTCAGAAACTCCTGCATGTAAATCAGAATGTGAATCAGATATTCAGTTACACATTATAAGCATCCCTTAAAAAAACTCCTCTAAATATGACAGGCAGTGATGGAAGTAAAGCAACCAGTGTGGCCTTTGTTACAGTCCTTGAATACCTTTTTCTTTTTCACTTTGTTTTTATTACTCCCTTGGTGCAGGGCTGCTGCACAAGGTCTTTCTCTTAGCTTAATGGAACGTCTGATTCAGAAATGGGGAGACCGTGTTGTGAAGATGCTCACTGTGCAGTACCGAATGCACCAAGCTATAATGCAATGGGCTTCCACTGAGATGTATGACGGTCATCTATCAGCTCACTCTTCTGTTGCACAACATTTACTGAAGTAAGTGATCGATGGCTTACTTGCTTTCTTTTTTTCTGCCCAAATGTTAAATTGATGCTGTCTTTTAATATTTCAAGCTAATGCAGACTTCTCCTGACTGTACTAAATATTTTCCTCTAGCTCTGTTCTAGCAAATAGACTTTTGCCCCATTTTCAACTGGCAAATAGCTGATTTCTGCACTGAAGGTTACAGCATGCAAGTTTTGTTCAACAGCTGAAGACGTGTTGTGGACTTGAAATTGTTGTCATTGTTGGCCCACCAGCTATCATGCTGTTAGGTTTGCTAATATCTCTTCCAGAAAATTTTTATTGAAAGTTGGAAGAGAATATTAGCTTCCTATTTCTCTAATTTGCCTTGACTCTTGCTTCTTTCCTTTTCTGGAGATCATCCTGGGGTATCTTACAATAAACAAAACTTCTTCTACCTAGAAAGGGAAGGGAGTGGGATATCACCCTGTTTAAAAGAGAAGTAGTTTCAACCTTGACACTGTCTGGCTGTTGGTTGACTCTCAGGTAAACACAGAGGAGTTTACCTATTGATTACAGTAATATTCCTGACTCATTCATTAGCAATAACAATAACACTTAGACTTATATACTGCTTTACAATGCTTTACAGCCCTCTCTAAGCGATTTTACAGAGTCAGCCTATTGCCCCCAACAATTTGGGTCCTCATTTTACCCACCTTGGAAGGATGGAATGTTAAGTCAACCTTGAGCCTGGTGAGATATGAACTGCCAAATTGCAGGCAGACAGCAGTCAGCAGAAGTAGCCTGCAGTACTGCACTCTAACCACTGCGCCACCATGGCTCATTTATTCATTCAAGTCAAAGCATCACCTAAAGTACAAGAAGAAAAGCAACAGAGATGCCTAGGGCCCAAAACCCACCTATATGGGTTCTGGGCCCTAGGCATGCCTTGAAGGAGAGGTCCCCACTTTGGGACCACACTTGATTTCTAAAATGTAAGCATTCAAAGTTTATTTATAGTCCAAGAGCAAACATATGGAAAAAAAACAGCAGTACAATTCATATTATAAAAGAATTTTAAAAATTGTAAGAAAATCCTGAGACAATACCCAGTAGTTAATAACATGATGGAGGAACCAGACAGTTTTTAAGATAGAAATTTTGAAACTTTCTTATAGATTTCTGAAGACGGGTCACAAAAAGAAGATTCATGGTCTCTTGATCACAATGGCAATGTGACCAGGAAATATCAAGTTCTATCATCATTGGGTTTACAGTGGACATTTTACTAGAAAATGTGAAACAGATTCTACTTCCATGTCTGAAAACAACTATGGCTTTCATGTGGAAGACTTAAATATTTGCAAGTTTTTGCTCTAATAGATAATGCCCAATCAGGCTATTGTAATAGTCTCCTATGAGGGCCATATAGAACTTTGAAGAAATATCTAGGGATAGGCCAGAGAAGAGAGATAATTGTGTTATCACTAATATTCCTTCTTAGGGCTGCAGAGAACTATCTAGCATGGTGAGATGGACCAAGCAATTTCCTTCTTAGGCTTCCCTCAGCCAAATCCTAGGACAAGAAAATTGGGCCCAAGGGAAGTGCAGCCAAGTTCCGGTCAAATTGCAACATAAGAAATTGAACGAGGAACTTGCAATAAGATTTTTTTAAAAATTTGACTGAATTGCTTTTAATCCAGAAGACCTCCTTGTAGGTACATCTGAGCACTATATAGCATCATGCCCGGAACTTTAATTTTATATAGTTTAATAGCTTCTGAGAGATCATTGTTTCCAGATTGATCTGCAAATTTAGTAATTGCAAGGGATGCTTTTTGGATTATTGCTAGTAGCTCTCTTGCGTGAATAGACTTGCAAGTAGAAGATTTAAAATAGACATCTAGATACTTAAAAGATTTAACCTGCCTGATAGGTTTGCTGCTAATCATCCTATTAGAGCTTTAAAGTGTCTCCTAGAGAATACTAATATCTTTGTTTTAGAATAATTTATTTTGAGGCATTCTCTGGAGCAGTAAAGCAGTAGAGTTTTAAGGTGTCTTTGAGGGTCTACTTGGTTTAGAGAGTAGGACTTCATCTTCACCATCGAGAAGAATAGAGATGGGGTGGTGGGCAAGGCAGGGTGAATGGAATTCTAGCTTAGCAGACTTAATAATATTGTTAAACTAAAAATTGAACTAGTCTTGTTTAAGATCTTGCAAGTAGAGACATTTAGTTAAGTCATCAGCAATATTGCCCTTAACTTGAATAGTAATGCCATGATGCAATAACATTATTAGTTTAAGAAGATGGTGTTGTAGTAACTAATTTCTTTAGAGTTTTTCTCATGGTATTAAATCACACTCTGCCCCCGCCTCAATAATGTGCTTGGTTTTTGCCTTACTGTGTTCAAAGAAGCATGCACAATTGCAGTTTTAATATCCATTTCACTATTAAGGAAATGTATAAATAATTCTAACTGGATTCAGCATGATGTTAGCATTTTTATAAAATATGTACCATCATATTCCCAGTGAAATTTTGTAAAACACTTAACACTGGCTCAATTGCATCTTTGCTTTCAGCTTTTTGAATACATGGGGAAAACATTATTTGGTTTTGCTCTTACTGATAACACATTCATCTTAACTTTTCTCACAACCCAGCACTGTTTACATAAATAGCCAAAACCTCTGATCATACAGTGTGTGTCTTTCTTTTTAAATTCACATTTTTAACCAATTCTCTTTTGCATTCCTTAATAACTACTGATGGTACTGTGAGAATTGGTTTGCTATCCCAGTAGCTTTAATCTCATAAAGATTGTATCTAAATTTTGAAGGGAGAGTTATTTGACATAAAGATTCTTTTGGCATGATTTTCTCTGCAGATGGAATTATTTTAAAAGAACCAAAATGGAGTTGAAAAAAGAGTATAAGTAGAGAAAAACAAAAGCTTCAGTAATCTGTTGGCATTGTCTCTGTATATCGACTAATATGTGAGAGACCAGCTCTGCATCTGAAGCCTTGCAGTAGAACAATGGATAATGCTGAAATATTTGGTTTTTTTAAAAAATCAGTACTGTAATTGCTTACTTCTCCATCCAGAACAAAGAATTGGTCTTTGGGGAGCATACTACTAAGAAGAACTTGCAAATGCAGTTTTGAACAAATTATGTCCATTAAACTTAACATTATAGTCAGAGATCTTCAAAGAAGATTGCTTCAGCGCATATTCATGCTGACAAACCTCCATCCTTTTCGGTTGGTGGGAAGTTTGTGGTCATTTCCACTTTTAGCTTACAATGTTTTCTCTTATATGTAGACCAACAATCTGTACTAAATAGTAACTAGAGTTTAAAATATGTTAACTTTAAGCTACGATTTCTGAAATTACTTTGGTTGAACCAATACAATTAATATTAATCACAGTTCCTGGGCAATCCAAAATTGTAACTTGGTTATTTAATACTTAAAAATTTAATACTTTTAATACTTAATAACGGGAGCAACAACTTCTTAATTTGGAGAAGGGGTTTGAAACAACTCTATCCTTCATGTGCTATAGAGAATTTCTTCATAGTTGTGACAAGTCAAGCCATATTTGTATTACTCCTGTTTGTCTATATACTGGCAAGGATCAATACACTTGCACGTATCAATTGCTTTGACATTTGACAAACGAAACATAATGCCAAGGGATAGATAATGGTGCCAGAAAGAGCTGGGCTACCAAACCTGCAGGTTTGATGGGTTTTTGTTCCCCAGGAGTCATTGATGGGAGAGAAGGTAAACCTCTCTTTTGCATCTTTGTATTTTCCTTTGCACCCCCCCTACAATTATGTCCGTTCATGTGTTGTTATGATCTTACATTCTGAATCCTTTCTTATCAATAGCTTCTGTACGTGACCAAGATTTTAAAAAATGAATTACATTCTCATACTTCAAATCCTTTTTTTGGGGGGGGGGGGATTTTTTATTTTTAAACAAAACTTAAAACATAAAACAATTATCATCCATTACAATTACAGAAAGTGTATTGATCGGTTACAAATCTTTTATGCTTAATCCTCTATCCAATATTTTCTTATTTAACAGTTTATTACATTATTATTCTCATTTATCAATTATTTAACAGTAAATTGTCCTCTATAAGGGGGGAAAAAAACCCTTTATATGTTTTATTATCTTATCCATTTCATATTTCATATTTCATTTCCATTCTTTCTTGTCTAACCATTGATAAAATAAATCCCATATCAAATAATATTGTTTATCTTCTTGTTCCCTAATTTCAAATGTCAATTTATTCATTTCAGCACACTGCAAAATTTTCTTGATAACGTCGTCATCCGTGGGTATCTTCTCACCTTTCCAATTTCTAGCAAATACAATTCTAGCCGCCGTTAAAACATTCACAATTAAATATCTGATTTCTCTATTGTATATTTCTGGTAAAATCCCCAATCATACTTCAAATCCTATCCATCCTTGGATCCCTTAAAATTATTTTCATGTGTTTGCTCAGAGATTAGATATATAAGGAACAACTGTAGTTCTGTAATGTTGATGATTAATATGTCTCTTCTAAGTACAAATAACATCTTTTTGCAGTTATTAGACCCACAGAGTGTATCTTTTCCTAATATCACAGCTGTCTCCAATAATAAATCTTTTGTCTCTGAGCAAAGGAAGTAGTTGTGTTCTGTGAAAGCTTTTGTCTATAATTTTATTTTTTGCTTTCATTGAACTGCCCTGTTCTGTAATTTGCTTGATATATGTGTTACTAGAAGCATCTACTGTTAAACAGGAACACCATATGTGCTAATTTGTGTTCCCATCAGGCTGCATGTATTGTTTCTTTCCACATAATAACTTAGAATGAGTTCTGAGATCTCATAGTTGCAGAGAGAGAATAAAATGACCTTACAGCTTCTTGCAAAAGTAGTTTGTGTCATTCTTTTTAATAATTTGACAGAGACTTGCCAGGAGTGGCCCCCACAGAAGAGACCAGTATCCCATTGCTGCTTATAGATACAGCTGGTTGTGGCTTATTTGAACTTGAAGTGGAAGAAGAACAATCTAGAGGAAACCCAGGTACCATCATTTACTCTGCTTCATGATTTTTCTTTCTTGAGTGGCATCTTCAAAAAACTGCCTTTTCAGTTTATATTACCTGTATAGTGATTTTGTAATACCAGCCAATGCAAAAGTTTCCTTGTACCAGAAAAGTATGGTAAAAATTGAGTTATTGACATATTATACCCATGATCACAGGTACAATTCCTGTGGAAATTGTTGAACATGTCTGGAAATTTCTTGCATGTCATGCTTGAATTACATATGTTATATCCTTGAAGCAGATGAATCGCCTATTTAAATATTTAATTATTTTAAACTGCTTTTAAATTTTGTATGTTTTGTTTTTTACTTTGGCTGTTCACCGCCCTGAGTCCTATTTGGAGAAGGGCGGTATAGAAATAGGAACAAACAAACAAACAAACAAATAAATAAATAAGCCATGGCTTCCAAGGCTGTTTTTAGAGTTTTGTTTCTAGGTGGGGTTTTTTTTTTTTTTTTTTGATCCAAATGTAAGTGATAATGTTAGAGAAAAGTTATTTCTCAGTTGCTGTGCCTATTAATGGCATTTGGAATGGACAAGTAAATAAGCCAATCAGAAAGCGGCTAATGGGTTTGAAACTCCCTGGATTTTATATTCCCTCCCCTAACTGTCACTGTGACAGTATAAAAGGAGATTTCTGACAGAAAACTATTATCAGTTAGAAGTCAGTAAGTAGTCAGTTGTCAGTTAGAGGGCAGCTCTGCAGTTCTAATGTCAGTTACAAGTCAGTTAGAGGGCAGCTCTAAAGGGCAGTTCTGCAGTCAGTATGCAGTTTAAAGGCAGTTCTGAAGACAGTTAGTCATCAGTAAATTGGCAGTTAGGAGAGTTCTGATTAGGGATCAGAGGTAAATCTGATGTTTTAAAAGAATCCTTCTTCTGAGGAAGAATAGCCAGAACTATAAAAACATAGAGTGATTACTTATATATATCTGACAGGATATTAAAGAAAAGGATTGACATACTATTTAGTATTTGAATAGATATTGTTTTTATTATTATGTAAATAAAAACAGTTTATTGTGAACTGCTAGTAAGTCTCATTTGTTATAGTAGATTGTTATAGAGATAAGGTTTTACGGTACATTGATTTAACCTCCACGACAGATAACTATGAAAGAAACAGATGTTGACATACCAAAACTTCCATCCACCTCACACTTTACTATAGTATAACTAATGAATCGATATAAAACATACAACGGAGCAAGAAAGAGACAGAAGGTAGTACAATTTTGGTAGTGACTAGAAGTAGCAAAATCCTAAATATTATTTTGTTTCATAAGCTTGAACTTTGTACCCCCGTAGTTAAGAGTTACAGAATTTTAAATTGGGCTTCAGGTGTAGCCTGAAAAAATAGAAACCAATGTTGCAATGAAATGACTGCGCATGCGCATGGGATTGAAGCAGTTTGCAAAACTGACATGAGGCCTTTAAAAAGAAGGAGCTGCTTTAACAATTCAGAAAGAGAACTTTCCTATGCATTCCCATGAATTAAGTGAATGAAACCTAGCCTTGGTGGAACAAAAGGCTACTAAACTGGTAGAAAACATGCTCATGGGTTTTAGGTGGAAATCAATTGTGGTGGGTTATAATTAACTTAGCTTGGAAATTTTATGAGAATAAAGAATGCATGCCAAAATTGAATAACCAATAGTATGTATTTTAGAAGCTGTTCAAACTTATGTTTGCTCTGACATGCCACTGTTTTTCTGGCATCTATTTTTCCCCCTGTTTTTTCCACTGCCCACTGTTGTTCCTGGCGTCTATTTTTTACCATATGTACATAGGGTTGCAGCCCTAAATAGTCTCACATGGGCATTGATGCATAAGTGAATGTCAAATGGTCTGCAGTATTATGTTTCATTCCCACTTTTTAACCAGAAAAGGCTCTGAAAAGTTATAGTAATGTAATCCGTATCTGTCTCGTTAGACACATTCAAGGATACTTTTTTTATATATGCAGGAACATTTGATTCTCTGAACTTGAATAAGGCTGCTTATGTAAGTTTGAAATAATGTCAGGTTTTTGAGCAATTCTGCAAAATAGATGAATCTGCTAGGAGAATCTTTATAACATATTGATTTCTTGCCTGTTTAAACACAAAAGGAATCAGATCCTTTTTAGAATCATGAAACTGAATAATAAACATGAACAATATGGAAAAGTGTTTATTGTTCTTTTAACTAGAGGAACAATAGCTGGTGATGGGGAAGAAAAAAATATCCATGTATTCATCTTGTTATATGAAAGAACTGGGGAGTGGGGGGGGGAATGGAGAATTTTAAATTCTCTAGATACTGTTAAATTCCGTTTTGCTTTAAAAGAGATCAGGGAAGGTGGGAGTTGTAGCCTCTTACCTTCTGGATCACCACATGAAATAATTTAAAAAATAACCTTCTGAATGAGCACAGATTTCTTACCTCTGCCCTAAGCTCAAATACAAAGTTGGGATGACGTTCTAAATAACAGGTAGGAGTAGAGGCTCCCATGGCTGAAAGCCCAGACCAATCTACTGGTCTCCAGCTAGACAACTTACATCTTGATAACAGCTGGGCAAATTGTATGGACAGTTACCAGCGATGCTTGTCATATCTTGTTGCTGAAGTTTAAATATCTTTCTACATACACAATTGGCTCTGAAGCAACAGGAAAGATATCAGCTTTCAGCTAGGAATATTGAACTGGCTTCATATCCATTCTGTTTGTGGCACAGCAGAGTTGAGAGAGCTTTCACTTTTAACTGTCTTGGCACATCACACTTTGTCCAGTTTTGAGCAAACAAAGGCACAAACCTATGCAGTTTGTACATCAAGAACTAAAGAGAATTTCGGAAATATTATTCAAAAGCCATAAGTCTTAGAATCCATGTTTCTGAATAATATTTAGTGACATTTTCCAAAGCAGCAATATGTCTATGTGGTTTGTTTTATGCTTAGAAGAAGGATAGGTCAATGCTCAAACATTGAGTAAGACTTTCTTAATAAATAGTGGATCTTGCTTTATGGAACCGGCTCCTTCGTTGCCGTCCTTGAGTTTCAGAAAGCCTATCAGAATGATTTTACGTCAGCAGGCCTTTGCACTCTGGAGTTTTAGCATACATCTATTTTATTTGCATTTATGATGTTTCATTACTATAATTTCAGTTTGGTTTTCTAGGTAGGAAATACTTATTCGGTATTAGTTTATAAACTAATAAACTAAATGGGGCAGTTTATAAACACTACAAATAAAGTAGCTTTTTTTTTTAAAAAAAAAAGCTACATTGTACATTGTTTACAATGTAAGTATATGACACATGTGAATGAGGACCATTTTATGTTTTAGTGTGTACATATACCCTTGCTAACTGTGCCAAGAAACAGTTGTGGACAACTCTTTCCTCATGTGGTGACCAGCGAGAGCCTGGTGAATGAATAAATGGAACAAAAGAATGTTTCTTGGTTTGCCATATGCCCAACCACAGATCATCATCTAAATCAAGAACATAAATCCTTAGCAAGGTGACCTATGGCAGTGGTCCCCAACCTTTTTATCGCCGCGGCCCGCTGAGCGCGTGCAGGGGTGGGGGCACGGCCCAGGAGCTTTTGCGCACGGCCCATTGCGCACGGCCCAGGAGCTTTTGCGCACGGCCCAGGAGCCTTTGCGCTGCAGCGTTCATGTCCCCCGGCCGCTGCGCGGCCCGGTGCCAGGTACTCCACGGCCCGGCACCGGTCCGCGGACCGGGGGTTGGGGACCACTGACCTATGGCATAGCTGCTGTATTAGGAAAATGGCAATTCTTTAGCAGTGGGAAACCCACATAATGAAAAAATATATTTTCTTTTGGCTTCCTGTAATCTTTGAATTCTTAGCAAATAAATCTGTGCTTAAATATTAAATGATTATACACACAGTGCTGTTTTTTTTTTTTTTTTAATTTAGAATGTGAAGTGAAGTTTACAGGTCGGTTTGGTTTTCTAATTGAATCTGCCTGCCTGCTTCTTCAACCTTAAAGTTGCTTGTTCCTTGTTCCCAGGTGAGGTACAGCTTACCAGTTTGCATATAGATGCTTTGATAGAAGCTGGTGTGAAAGCAAAAGATGTAGCTGTCATTGCTCCTTACAATCTTCAGGTTAGTGCATCTACTACCATATACTAAGAAATATGTCATGTTGAATAAAAATTGAAAACTTAAGTACAAAATTATAGAAGGAAATATGCTGGCATTGATGATGTTATCTAGTTTGGTATTGAACTGTCTGAAAGAAAATCACCAAGCTTAGAGAGCACCAGTAACCCCATAGTAAGTACAAAAGAAAATGAAACTGATTTGAATCTTCAGGGACCTAAATTATTCTCACTAATAGTAACTTCAGTGAGGTAGAGGCAGAACTTTATTCTATTTTCTTGATCTATGAGGACTTACATGCTTTGCGTGCTGTTTGGTGTAGACCTAACTACTGCTTCCAGCATCTGCTGGTCTATAGTAAATTAGGAAGATCTCCATTCCTCCATCCAGGATGTAGGTCCTACCTCACCAGTTCAGAAATAGTAGAATGAACATCAGATATAGCTTTTTGTTCCTTTTTCTAGGCAACAGCCTACCTTCTAAGATATAAGATGCTTAATTTCTCTTGGAAGGAGAAGACTTTTTCAGTAAGATGGCATTCATTTCCTGTACCAATAAGTGCTTTGTTTTCCAGGTGGACATGCTAAGAAAACATCTGTATCAGAAGTATCCAGAGCTAGAGATTAAATCAGTGGATGGCTTCCAAGGAAGAGAAAAGGAAGCAGTTGTTCTTTCTTTTGTAAGATCCAATAGAAAAGGTAAATCGGTCATAATCTACAGCCATGCACAATGAAAGCAAGGAATTTACAAGAAGCACTGATGCTACTGCATGTTTATGTGGTTGTGACTGATTCATGGTTTTGGCTGGGGAATTAAAAAGAACATTATGATTTTCTATATAATTCTTTTCAAACAGAGACCAGAATGGCGAACAGTAAGAAAATGATAAAATAATTGAGTCAACCTTTTTGGTAATTATGATGACTGCCGTTCAGTTTAAAATACTGTCTTGCAGCCACATGAATAATAACTATTCAGATGACTGTGAATGTAACTCAAAAGATGTTTCTAAAGTCTGTAAATATTTTTCTTCTTTCCCATTATAATAGTGGAGCATGATATGGAGAGGGGTTTCTTCTCTGCTTCATATGGTTGCTGGAGAGAAAAATTGCCTCCCTGTTTAAAATAGATAAGCAAATTGTGGTTCATTGTTGTCTATGTATTATGTCTTCCGATATGGTTTTGACACTTGGTAATTACTTCCCAGGTTAGGCTTCTCGAGCACAAATTGGTGACTCACATATTTTAATGTGCCCTTTAATGTTTATTTTTCCATTTGTCTTCTGCCTAGCTCCTTATATAGGACTCAACCCCATCGGTTAAGTAGCTGAGTTGACTCATCCTGGCATTTGCTATCTGTTATTATAAAATCTAAAAAAATCTGGAGATCAGAAATAACTTCTAGAAAAGGCTTTGTCATTTCTAGCTATTTATTCAGTCTTGGATGATGCTTTTTTTAAAGATTATGCTAAATATTTTTCTGACCTTTATCAGACTTGTTAATAATTAGAAATGAGCAAAACGCATTTGCAATACTTCAAGAAACCTTCCTTATGTTAAATTCTGCTTGTCAGATACAGCTCCAGTCTCAGAGCAGTTCTATTGTGGACAAAAACTTTATAAAACTTATTTAATCAACATGAGCAGTCAATATGCTTTTCCTCACCATTGTGAAACAAAATGAACACTTGAACATCTTTCAGAAGTCATATCAAGTGCTAAAAATTCTTATTTTTCTAGCTCCTGGCCGTTTATTGAATTTTGCTTTCCTTATTTAAAAGTAAAATGGGTTTCTCAGAAAAATATATTAAAATAATATTGCAACCTATCCAAAGCTTCAATGTTCCTTGGGCTAGATTATTGACTAAAAAAGTGCCTTTCTGGAAATTAATGACCTTATAAGTAAATTTCAAGCACTGAAATGAAAACAAGCCTGAATTTAAGCATTTCTCCTCTCCCTTACTTTTACTTTTCAAAAAACTAAGGAGGGCCTTCTGAGATCCTTCGAACCCCTCTTTTTCTTCTGTGGGCTGAGGTATGATGGTTGTCTAGGCTGAGGCTTTTCCCTCTGTCTATAAAGTCACTTCCACAGATCATTGGTCTATAAAACAAGTTATCACTGTGTCAAAATGGTGTCCATAAACACTGTCAAGTGCATCTGATCTTTGTCATACACTGGATTAGGTATGGTTTTGGGTGATTATGAGACTTGGCTACATATGTTTTCTACTTTGAAGTTGTCAACATGAGCATTCAGTTTGAAATTTGGCACAGGCAATGACACTCCCACCTCAGATTTCATAGTTTTACAATAATGATAATAAGGAAGCTATAATATGACTGTTGAAATCTTGATGGGATCTGCTTATACAGGCCCTTGGTGCTGAAAATGTGTTTGGATTTGTTTGTAAATAAATAAACTTGTGCCTACACTCTGTTCATGTGTTCAATCCATTTTGGAAATGTCATTCTTGGGCAATAGTTTAGATAATTAAAGAAAGACGCAATCTACTTCACCAAATCCCATGGAGTTCAGTCTAACTTGCTTCTGAGGAAATATGCTTGCAATAAAACTGCCTCTATTATCATTACTTTACATGGTCTGCAAAGCTCTGCATCCTGACTTACTGTTTTTATGATGTGTAGGTGAAGTGGGATTCCTCGCCGAAGACAGGAGAATAAATGTTGCAATTACCCGGGCCCGACGTCATGTGGCTGTAATCTGTGACTCTCGCACTGTTAGCAATCACAGTTTTCTTAAACGGCTGGTGGAGTATATGAACACCCATGGAGAAGTGCGCACAGCCTTTGAATATCTGGATGATATTGTACCCGGAAACTACACTCCCAAGAGTTCTTTGGGTCCCCGTAACCAGGAAAAGAGACTTAAATGCAACATTGGTCCAGTCCCAAAGGCTCTTGGAGAGAAGCCAAAAGGAAGGCCTGCCCAAAAGCCTAAAGAGAGGCTAACAGAATGTTCCCTGGAAAACACGGGCAAAGTCACAACATCAAAAACCAAAGAGAATGAAAACTCATTTAAACATAAAGCAAGAATATTGGAGTTTCTGGATAGTAGTGAGGTCCAACTGGATTTCCCTTCCTCTTTAAACGCTCACGATAGAATGCTTATCCATCAGTTGGCTGAAGAATACGGGCTGCAGCACATGAGCACAGGAGAAGGCAGCGCACGACACATAAGTATTCGTAGGAGAGATTCTCCCACAGAATTATCTTTGGGAGGTACTGTAGTTTGTCAACCTGAATTAATTCAAGGCTGTCCAAAAGAAATAGATGCAGGCAGTGAAGAGAGGGAGAGCGGTGCTGGCCCAGGGGCCACAGACCTAAAAACGTTGCATGTGGAACGGATGAAAAGAGAGAGAGAGAAGAAAGAAGAGAGAGTGAAACAAAGCCGAGAATCCAATGTAAATCTTCAGGAAATAATTGGAAAGAAAGAAAAAGATGTTGGAGGTAAAGAATCCATTTTAAAAAGTTTAAAAGATACCCCTTTCATTCTTTTTTAATCCGCTGTTTATCCTGTTTTTCTTTGCAATCCCTATATAGATTCTCTCCTGACAAAGGTAGTGTATCCTTTGAGGAGCTTTGGGGAAATTTTAAACCAAAACACAGCCAACAGAATTCTCTGCTTTAAATATCAAGCCTCCTGTTTTTATACAGTGCTTACAGAAGGAGTTGCTAGAAGCAGGCTTACTTCTAAAACACAACTACTTTTGAGAGCAACCACTAATTTTAGATCTAGGAAGCACAGTGCGTTTTCCACAAATAGGCTTCTTTTGAAAATGTCAGCCAAATATTTGTCCTGGCTTTTGGATATACAGTACATGGATTTCCCCCAAAATCAGTATCTCTGAAATTATCACAACAGATGACCTAGGGCACGACATGGGCTTGCTTTGTGCAGTTGGATGATTGATTAGAACATTTTGAGGAGACAAAGTACAGATCCTTAGCTGACACCAAGCTGAGCCAGACTACATAAATATCCTCTAACATACCCTACTTGTCTTTCTCGGATGTTTATGTTCACATAGAGGCTATACATGAGCTTGCCAATACAAATGAAAAAGTGGTATCAATTGAAAAGAAAAACTTCCTTTGCCTTGTTAGGAAGGTGTGTGTGCGCAAGCACCTGAGTATTTGCACATACTCTAATGTACCCATTTCCCATGATTGATTCTTTGGGGGGGGGGCTATGAAACCACTTAATATGTACATAGATACCTTCTGAAATTCACATCCTCCAAGATTTCTAAAGAGGAAGAAAATCCCCTCTGGTACATTGATAAGTCTGCTATAAAATACAGAGGCAATTAGATTTATTGGGCATGGGAATAAACCTGTATCCAGGCAGTGCCTTTGATTTTGATTCTAAAATCAAGAGTGTGGCCCCTAATTTTTGAATCAGTAACATTGTCTGGAGCAGCCTTCTTAAACTATGACACCTTCCAGGTGTATGGGTTTCTATTGTTAGCAGCCCTAACCCTAATCCCTTTTCCTTCTTTAAAGTGTTCTCTAAAAGAGTTTCTAATTTAGTTGGGCAGCTTCAAAGATAGTTCAGCTAGTCTCAGGCAGTTTGTCTTCATATACACAAGCCAATGGGGAGTCTCCTCTAAGAGCACCAGACACGGCCCATATCAGATTAAGCTATGAGCAATCTGGCATCTGAGGAGCAATGATGAGCAATCTGGCACCTGAGGAGAAGAAGGGTGTCTTTGTTTTTAATTGTGTTTTCTGGATTGTGGTGAGCCACCTAGAGACATTGTCTGAAAATAGGCAGCCATGAACGTCCTATAAACAAACAAACAAACAAATCTCATTATTTCCACTCTATTATCATGCTTTGCCTACTCTTATTTGTCCACTTTATCTTACTGATTCCTTTTGAAGGAGAAGTTAGTGCTATCTGTTGGCCATCTGGTTGCAGAGGGCCAGCATACTGCCAGTGCTCTTTCAAGAGACAACTGGGCTTTCTTGTTTTTCTTTGAAGACCTTTCACTTCTCATCCAAGAAGCTTCTTCAGCTCTGACTGCATGGTGGGTCCTTCCATTCCTCACCCTTCCATTCCCCACCATCCAGTCACAGCTGAAGAAGCTTCTTGGATGAGAAGCGAAGCGTCTTCAAAGAAAAACCAGAAAGCCCAGTTGCCTCTTGAAAAAAGCACATTTGGGAAAATCATCAAACATTTAATCAACACAGCTGTGCCTCTTTATGTCCATAATAAAGTGTTGTGTGCAATCTTTTTGTTACTGCTCTCTAATTATTTTATACCCTTATACTTATTTAGGAAAGGCATCCAGTAAATCCAAAAAGGAAATTGAAGCCAAGGAAGATTTTGATGCTATGATCTCTGCGGCAATTAAAGCAGACAACACATGTGGCTTCTCCAAATGTAAAGCCAGTGTAACAACCCTGGGACAGCTGTGCCAGCATTGCAACAGACGCTACTGTCTCAGCCACCATATCCCAGAGGTACGCTTTGGTCTCTCCCCTGAAGCAGACAAAGCACATCCATTTTCTCACCTTTCCCAGGTTTTCAGAGCCAGCGTAATTTTCAGGTGAAATTGAGGTGCCATTTTTAAAGTATTCAGTGTAGTTGACTTTTTCAAGGAACCTCATCGTAATAAAGGTTGTGCAATAGCAATAGCAATAGCACTTAGACTTATATACCACTTTACAGTTCTTTACAGCCCTCTCTAAGCAGTTTACAGAGTCAGCATATTTTCCCCAACAATCTGGGTCCTCATTTTACCCACCTTGGAAGGATGGAAGGCTGAGTCAACCTTGAGCCTGGTGAGATTCGAACTGCCAAACTGCAGGCAGCTGGCGATCAGCAGAAGTAGTCTGCAGTACTGCATTCTAACCACTGCGCCATTGTGGCTCAGACTATAGGCCAGTGATGGCTAACCTTTTTGCCATCGTGTGCCAAAAGCAAGGGGAACGCAGGGGGGTTGTGCGCATGTGTGCCCGCATCCATAATTCAATGCACCCCACCCCCGCACATGTATGCACGACACCCCTTCTGTGCTCCCCCCACTTTTGGTGCACGATGGCACGGAGGGCTCTGTAGGCCTATTTTTCACCCTCCCCAGGCTCCCGAGGCTTTCTTGGAGCCTGGGGAGGGCAAAAATGGCCTCCCCCCCTGGAGACCCTCCAGAGGCCATAAAGAGCCTATTTCCTGTGGGCCCGAATCAGGCCCGAAAATCAGCTGGCCGGTGCGTGCATGCGCGGTGGAACTGAGCTAGGGCAACGCTTGCATGCCCACCAATATGGCTCTGCGTGCCACCTGTCACATGCGTGCCATAGGTTCACCATCACGGCTATAGGCAAATCCAGTGGAGGGTAACTTTTCCCCATTCCGCAGCTTCCGTCGTGCACTGAAGACTCTATTGTTTCAGCAAGCCGGCCTGTCCGAATGAATTAATTTAAGTGGGTTTTAATGGTTTTAAAGGGGTTTTAGCTAGGGGTTTTAAATACGGCCAATGCTTTAAATTATTTTAAATTGTTTTTTAATTTTTGTGTTCATATTATTTTATCATGGCTGTACACCACCCTGAGTCCTTCGGGAGAAGGGCGGTATAGAAATGTAATTAATTAATTAATTAATTAATTAATTAATCTTAACTTGCCATTTAATATATACATGGGCATATACACACAGACAAATACAAGTACTTGTGAAAAAAAATCTACCTTTAGAAAGGTAGAGATGGGATTTCGGCCTTATGAAAGTAATGTAGCATAATAAACACACAGGGCATAATTCACAAAAGAATTGAAGCTATAGTTGCCTCCAGTTTAATTTTCCAATGACTGGAAATGCATCCCCTGCTGGGCAATCAGGAGGAAAAATGTTGGTCTGGAGGGCTGTTTTTGCTCATAGTCTTTAGGTTTTAAAAATGAAGTGGGGTTTTGTTTTCTTTTTTGTTCTCCTCTTGGCATTTTAATGGAGTTATTTTTTATGGAGATCTGTACTTTTGAAACATCTTTTTATCTCTTTCTAATATAAAGAATGATTTTATTTCCAGTTAAAGTACACAACATTTTTCACTCTCCTTCATTCTTCAAATTTATATATACACACGTACACCTACTACCCTCTCTTTTGAGTCTTCAAAATGAATCGGATGAAGAAAATGTACCGTATTTTCCGGCGTATAAGACGACTGGGCATATAAGATGACCCCTGAATTTTCCTGTTAAAATATAGGGTTTGGGCTATACTCGCCGTATAAGACTACCCCTCTTCCAACGCACACCAAATAAAAATTAAAAAACATCAGCTGGCTCACCCACAATGTAAAAGCAGCTGTGCTAGACCCAAAATGGCCCCTGCAACAAGCAGGAACCTCACACAGCCACAAAAAGCCCAAATAAACAACTTTCACACTTTACACACACACAACACAACTGGCTCACCCACAATGTAAACGCAGCTGTGCTAGACCCAAAATGGCCCCTGCAACAAGCAGGAATCTCACACAGCCACAAAAAGCCCAAAAAAACAACTTTCACACTTTACACACACGCATAACACAACACAACACAACTGGCTCACCCACAATGTAAACGCAGCTGTGCTAGACCCAAAATGGCCCCTGCAACAAGCAGGAACTTCACACAGCCACAAAAAGCCCAAAAACCCAACTTTCACACTTTACACACACAAAATTCCACATACAGCTTTGTGAGATTTTGTGTGTTTGTGTAGTTAGAGTGAAACACTACAAAAACACACTAAATCTCAGAAAGCTGCACAAATATTATTTTATTTTATTTTTATTTTTATATGAAAGCTAAATTTAAAACTTCCTAAACTTTAAATGGCTAGGTCTAAAAAAGAACAACTAAAAAACCCCAATTAACTATTTTTTTTAAAGATCCCAAAGGGGAAAAAACTTACCCAATAGAACAGGGGTCTCCAACCTTGGCAACTTTAAGACTTGTAGACTTCAACTCCCAGAATTCCTGAGCCAGCTTTGTTTTGCTGGCTGAGGAATTCTGGGAGTTGAAGTCCACAACTCCCTGCCTGCTTGATTGCTTGCTGATGGAATGGATTCAGCCATGTGAATAGTTTCATTGCTTTCCTTCATCCCCTATAGCAGGGGTGTCAAACTCAAGGCCCTTGGTGGCGCAGCGGACTAAAGTGCTGTTAAAGTAGCACTTAGCTGCCAGCTGCCTGCAATTACTGCAAGTTCAAATCTCACCAGGCTCAAGGTTGACTCACCCTTCCATCCTCCCGAGATAGGTAAAATGAGGACCCGGATTGTGGGGGCAATAAGCTGACTTTGTATAAAAAGAACACCGCTTGTGGGGGTGGGGGTGGGGGCAAAAGCCCTACTAAGCAGGTATATTCAAAAGTATGAAGGCTATTGCTTAAAGCATTGTAAGCCACCCTGAGTCTCCGGAGAAGGGCAGTATATAAATCGAACCAATAAATAAATAAGGCCCGGGGACCAGGCCTGGCCCACAGAGTGCTTAGATCTGGCCTGTGGGGCCATCCTGGAAACAGTGAAAGACTGGCCGGCGATGCCTCTGCCAGTGAAGACGGAGCTTGGGTGGGCCGTATGTGATTCTCCCGAGCTCCATTTTCCCTGGCAGAGGGTTGCAGGAGGCCATCGCAACCGAAAATGGAGCTTGGGAGCCCGTTTTCACTGGCAGAGCACTCAGGCCATGCCCACCCCGCCATGTCCAAGGTCAAACACAACCCTGATGCGGCCCTCGAAGAAATCCAATTTGACACCCCTGCCCTATAATCACATCAAGGCACAGAGTCAGATAAAGTAGCCTTTCCTATTTGGTTCCCTTCCTATATGCTGGACCAAGTTCACAGTAATCTTCTCATGTCTTAAATGTTACTAGTTTTAACAATTGGGGTTTTAGTATCATTTTATGGTGGGTATGTGGGTGGGTATGTCAAGATTTTGTTAACTGCCTCACATATTCAAGTGATCAGAAAGATGAAATAGAATTCATATTACTCAATCCAGTTGGCACCATGGAGATAGCTGACATAGTATTTCTGTCTCTTCACTGATACTCCCACGGCTATTCTCATAGTTCCAGTGACTAGAAAAAGCCCACATTCATATACAAAAAAAGATAAAAATCTTCCGTCTTTCGATCAGTGTGGTAGAAGAATGAACTGTCAATAAAGTCAGATTCACAATGTTGCTGAATGTTACATAGATTAAACTTCTTTAAAAAAATCTAACGTTTTGTAAATTGTAAAATCTAATAACAAAAACAATATATTTTGATTGGCACTTTACCAGTATCAGGCGCAAAAAATCAGGAGCCAAGATAGCTTTCAAAAGCATTACAAGTTTATTTCATGCTATCTATATACAAGAATCTGAACTATTAATGGTCAGTGCAAATTAGCACCAGATAAGACCCCTGGAGTTAGGTCTCTTTCAGGGGTGTAGGGACTCCAGACTGAGGATGTGTTTGACAGACACGCACATGGGCTCACTCTGGTCATCTCCTGCATCCTACAATCAGTTTAGTATCAACATTTTCTAGTCTCAGTACAGATCGTATTATACTTTCCATATATTTTGTAAGTTGACAGAAGACTTAGTATCATTTATAAAACAAATATAATTCCTCCAGATTCTGGAAAATTATGTTTACTATATCTCATATGCAGTGGTGGACTCCAAATTTTTTAACAACCAGTTCTCTGCCCTAATGACTGGCTGGGTGGGTGTGGCTGGGTGGGGTCTTGTGACTGAGTGGGTGTGGCCAACTTTATGTTACCTGTTTAGGTGGTACCTGTGTGGGACAGGCAGGGTTGGGGAGGGAATCCAGGGGTCTCCTGTGGGGGAGGGGGGGCGGGAGGAAAGAAAGATCCAACCTGTTTGTGTATGCGTGTGCGTGTGTGTGAGAGAAAGAAAGATTGCGTCAAGCTAGACTGGGAACACTGGCTACGAGAGGAAGAGAAGCTGGGTAAACTGGACCCAGACGCTTCCCGGGTCCCCTCATCCCAGAAGCGGCAACCTTGCACTCTCCCCTCTCTGGTAGCCGCCTTCTTCGCACAGGATCACACAGCAGCAGAGGGGGAGAAGAGGGCAGCGGGTTGAGGGGAGAGTGCCACACAGAAACGGGAGCACACAGAAGCGCCACCTCCTTCTCCCTCTCCATTTCATTGCTGGATGATCCCATGCGAAGAAGGGGGCTAGCAGAGAGGGGAAGAATGCAAGGTTGCTGCTTCTGGAATGAGGGGACCCGGGACACATCTGGGTCTGGCTCACCTGGCTTCTCTTCCTCTCACAGCCAACTTTTTTGGGCCATTTTCAGGCCATTTTTTGGGCTGTTTGCAGGCCGATTTTGGCTTGAAAAACGGCCCGAAAAACAGGCAGGGGAGTTGCCAGCCGGTGGTCCGATTTGCCGGTTCTCCAAACCATGCAGAATCGGAAAAACCTGTTTGGGCGAACCGACAGCAGCCCACCACTGCTTATATGAACTTTAGCTTACAGCTAAGCTTACAGTTTAGTGTTGTTGACCAGGTCTGACTTCAAGAAGAAAGCCCTTAGAAATATGTAGCCACAAAAGAGTAATTCCTTTTTTTTATATACTATAATATTATTGCTAATTTTAAAAGCATTAGAACAGAACCCTTGATATAAACTAGTTTTTAAAAACATATTCAAATTGCTTAGTTCAATAATTTTTGTCTCACACCCTGCATTTGAATAGGTCTCATTTGAGAAAAGAAGGAAGATTTTATCTTTTTAGAATTTAAGTCATGGAAAAATTCATATGGGTCAGCCCAAATGCTTGATCAATTAAGACAGAACTAATAAATGTGAACATTTTAGGTGTATGCTTGGATTTGATCCAGGACAATCACAGTTTAATTTCTGCATTTGCTTCAAATCTTTTACCAGAATGTTTTATACTTTCTTGTTGCCCTCTAAATCTAGATGTTATATGCTTATTAAAATAAAGCTTTCTGACATAATATAATTACCTGAGTTGGTCCATCTTATAATCTTATTTTCCAGAAATTCTGTCTGATTCCATCATCACTTACTACTAATAAAACAGACTTCTATTAAAGCCATTTTCAGTCTTTATTATAACCTTTATTTTATTAAAGTGTTTACCTTTTCCCTCTAGGTATTTTCTGCTCATATTTTCTCATAATTTAAGAATTACTGTGTGCTCAATCTCTCCCCAGATATAAATTATTATTCCTGGCACTTTGTTTCAAACATACTTTTATTTATTCATTCAATTCATGCAATGTATATTGGCTGCCCAACTCGCAATGATTCTGGATGGCTAACATAAAATGAAAAGAGACAAACAACAGCAACAAATATTAAAACAGCAGAGAATTTAATGCATCTGAAGTCCCACATAGTTCTTTTCTTAACCATTACAAGACAGGCTCAACCAACAATCTGACTAGGTTTTCAAGACCTTACCGAATTGGGCCATTTGAATTTCAGGGGGTTACTGTTCCAGAGGTCAGGTCCTGTGACAAACAAGGGCCCAAAAGAAAGCCATAGAGGGTATCTGAAGTATGTCCATTCTGGTTGGGTCCGAAGCAATAGTACCCCCAGAAACCTACTATGAACCAGTGCAGCTTGCAAAATATCTTAACGGGCCTATCCTATAAGCCCTATTTTTTTCTGGGCTTCTTCAAGCAATTTTCTCCCTGGGTATTGGCCAGGGTGAAGCCTGTCTGCTTCAGTTAGGTAAGTGGCATCTTGTACCCACTAGCTGCTCATTTGGTTTTGTCCATTTCATGGCAAATTAGCTTCTAGAAATATTTGTTGTTGTATTCATACAGCTGTGTTGTTGTTGATTTTCTTCCAATACTCTTTAGAAGCATCTCTCTTTATAATGTTGGAGTTTAGAGAATGATGATAGAGTTATATTTTATCAGACCAAGAAACAAAGTTGCCCAGAAGATGGAATAGAGATTTCCCATCCACTTGTAGAGTTTAAAAAGAAAATACTTAAGCTGTCTGAAAAGATGAATTAATTTCACTTTAGTTTCTACTGGGGGGCGGGGAATGATTGAATATATTTTTTTTTTGCTTTTGGAATTAAAAGAACTGTCAGTAAACAAGTAAACTACTTGTACAGTTCTGTAGTTTAGGGAAGATGTATGACGTAGTGTAACCTCTCTCTTTTTTTTTTTTACTAATACTTTTTCCTACTGGAGTATCTTGATCTTCTGCCTTTATTTCCCACAGGTTCACGGATGTGGGGAGAAAGCCAAAGCAAATGCCCGGCAGAGAATCAGCAAGGAAGGGATTCTCTATCCTGGGAGTGGGATGAAGGACAAGTCCTTGGATCCTACCAAGAGAGCTCACCTCCAGAGACGCTTGGACCAGAAACTCAGTGAACTGTCCAAACAGCGAAAGAGCAAAAGGAAAGATAGAGAGAAATAACAGGATGTGTGACTTTGGAAAGGAATTAAAGCCAACAAGCTCTCCTTTAAAGCTTGTTCAACTTTGCAGGAAAAAAAAAAGCTAATAAAATATTTGAACACTTGGGCTTCTTTTTTTTCTGTATAACCAGAACGTGCTTTTGAATGTCACAGTTCTCAGAGGACCCAACACTGCTTAAAGTTGCATACTGAAAACCTTACCTGCAGATTTTGAAAAATGTGCTGGATGCACCTTATGCTGTAAAATGTGTTTCTACCTCTCGCATCAAGGTTATAAAACCCTGTTGATTAGGGGAGAAAAGCAGGCTGCTTTGGCTTTCAGTAATTACTTTTGCTGGAAGTGTAATCAAATATACAGTGAATAGTTAAATAGGCAGCTACGCAATAAAGAGGGAAGTTTCATTAAGAGCATGAATCAGTGAAAGAAAGAAACATAGGGATGCAACGTGTTTGTGAAAATGATAGGAAGGAAAAGGATATTATAAATCTGGATGAAGGCGAACTGATATTGTGGAGTAGAGCTCATAAATTAATATATGTGAGAAAGTGAAGCTGTAGATTTAATTATGAAAAAGCTATAATATATGTGTTGATATGATCTAGAATAGGGGTGTCACACTGAAGGCCCATGGGCCAGATCAAGTCCATGGGGTGCTTGGATCTGGCCCAAACAATGAAGGACTGGTCCATGATGCTTCTACCAGACCCTCCTGGGCTCCATTTTTACTGGCAGAGGCTGCAGGATGTCAAGCTGCCCACGCCCACCCAATGCAGCCACACCCACTCAGCCCCCCAAGGTCAAACATAACCTTGATGTGGCCCTCAATGAAATTGAGTTTGACACCCCTGATCTAGAATATTGCTGCATATGCAAGAAGAAAATAGTTTGATCATAATTTCATGATACTCTTCATCAATGTTTATAGTGGAAGAGCCAAGGATGAGCCTGGGGGAAAACGTGTGACCTGAATCAATCTGAGAAAGTGCAGAAAAAAATTAGCCTGCTAGTCGATAGGAATGAATGAGTGAGAAAAAGATGAAAGAGTGCAATAAAAGTTAAATGGGCTACTTGGAGACCCAGAAATGAATGGGAGCTGTTTTGTGACCATTTACTTAGAGGAACTTGTGCTTTAAGTGGTATGTGTTTTAATATGTATTTTTCTGTAGACATTGAAAAGCAATTAACCCTTTTGGATGGTGATTTTGATTCTGATAAAAGATTGAGAGGTTTTGTGAAGTATACAAAGATAATAGAAGCTTCTGACTGAGAGACAGACTATAATGTCACGAATGGATCTTGGGGAGTAGAAGAAAATGCAAATAGAAAAAAAGGAAAATAAATGAGTGGAAGTAGAATGAGTAAGGGAAAAGTACAAATCCTGAATGAAGAATTATTTGTACATTAATTATGCTCTCAAGAGAATTAATAGAAAGTAGACACAAGCAATTTGGAAAAGAATAACCAATATAAAGTTACCGTACAAATGCTACAGAAATATATGCAGTTACACTAATGTGTATTAAAAAGGATGCTTGAATCATAATGAATGGGGTGAACAAAACATTGCATATAAGAGAATGATTGCTGCAAAAATGAGAATGAACAAAGTATATTTTATGATGTGTACAGACACAAGAGTGTACCAAAGAATATGAAACAAAGGGCTGAATTAAGGTAGAAGGAAAGAAAATGAAGACGAATTTTTACTGAAATAAAACTTTGTTTTAGAAATAGGTGAAAAACTGAACAAGAAGCATCCAGCAGTAAATGAATTAACCAATAGAAGAGAATATATGTAGCTACAGGTTGAACTGTGGAGTCCTTGGTGCTCTCCGAGGTTGGTTGTTTGCTTGCAGACATTAAATATGAAAATGAGGAACTGAATTGGAATATACTTGAAGTGAGGAAATATTGAAGTAGGGTTATGGAGATTTATATAGTGATATAGTGAAGAGTGGAATTAAAATGAATGTTAGTGTCAAGGGAAGGGAAGGGAAAGGAAAAAGAGAAATGGGCTATAAATGCAGGTGGAATTACTGGAGAGTTTAAAATATGGATGTAGTTTTATTATGGAGTGTCTGTGACTTCCTTAATATGATTCTTTGAAAAGTGCTAAAAAGAATGCAAAGAAGTTTTAGTTTATAAAGTGTAAGTAAAAAAGTGCTTGGCAGATTATCGACTGAAAATGTACTGAGGTGATAATGAGCAAAATTAGAGAAGAGTCTTGCAGTTTTATGCCAATAAGGTGTAGACCAGATATTTGCTCCTCAGCAATTAACTAATAAGTGTATGAATGTGACGTAAAAAGCCTATTAAATATTAGTTGATTTCCCATCATAGGCTTGAATTATGAAGTGCTTTGTATAAAATAGTGAAGTTGCTTACTAAATACCATAAAAGCAGTGTATAATGGAACTAAAGTATGTGTAAGAATAAATGATTCAATACTGAGCAGGGAGTAAGACAAGGATTGTGATGTCCTACTGTTTGTTTATATGTATTTATGGATAAATGTATAAGGAAGACTTGTACTATTGGTTGGGAATGTAAATGTGCATTTTTGTTTGTCAAAGGCTAAGAACTAGAATAATGTGAGGCTAATATCAGATATATTCTATGATGCAGTAAGGAGTATGAAAATTAATGCAATGAAGTAGTATTTATTTTTAAAAGGTATGAACAATAGCAAACATAAATGATAAAAAATATTTGCCAGATAAATGGATTTGTGTGCCCTGATAATTTTCTACAGATGAAAAAATGGCTGCAAATGTTAATAGAAGAGTAGTGTTGGGAGTAATGAATGAATATTTTTTGAAAGAAGCAAAAATGGCTGTGCCTTAAGAAGTTGCTTCTGCCCACATTGTTATATGGAGGCGAAGTTGTGTATGTCAGGCAAAGCATAGCGGTAAGCTGAGTGCAATTGGAATACAGTACTTTAATGGTGTGTATAGCAAAGCCAGAACCAGAACTCAATCCTGAGAGAGGGATAAATGTAGATTGAATGCAAAAGTGAGTGACAATATGAAATAGATTGAAAGTGATTGGTTATGTGAATAAATGAATGAAAGTAAATGAGGAATTGAGGACTGAATCCCAAAACAAATATATGATGGAAAATTAATGAGTTATGTAGAAGGGAGTGACTGAAAACCTTGAAATTGAATGAAATTAATGAGAACCTGAGAAAACAGAGGTGAGAAATTTAAAGAACAAAATCTTTCTCTCTTTTTCTTTGTCTTCTACTTACTATTCTTTTTTGCTTATTCCCAAAAGGGGTAGATTTATCGTTATGGTCGGATGGATGACTTCCATAATACAAGCATACATTCAGGCAGAGAAAAATCTAAAATGAAACCCACAATTGGCTATTTTGATTCATATTTCTTTATGCCTTGCCTTGCCTTTTTATCTGCAAAAATATCTTGTCTCTTCCCCGCTTGCCTTGAAGAATAGTGCAGTTTGCTTTGAAGATATATAAAGAAGACAAATAGCTTTTCTTTCAAACTGCGTAGCCCTTTTTTCTCAGCAAGTCATTATAAAATCTCTGAAGCAACATATTTTAGTCCACTATTGGAACCCAACTATAAAAGTCCAAATGGGCATTGCTCCTTTTAAGTAGAGGGATTTTGGCAAAACATGTCATATGTAGAGAATATGATTGTGCTTCTTTGATCATTACATAAATTGTAAAACAAAATTGCACATAATGCAAGCATCTACACCCCCATTATAATAACAGCATGTTCTTTTGATGGAGGGAAGAGTGGCTGTCCAGCATGCCCACATCTGTTACTATTCTGCCTGGGTTTGGTGAAAGTTGGAATCTAGTACCGTAATATCTGAATTCATCACAGTTGTTGCTCATTTATTTTATTTGTCAAGGCCGCCCAACTCCAGAATGTTTGGGCAGTGGAATTTGGAGCAGATCCAAGCACACAATATCTTCTTAGTGCATCAGGAAGAGAAATAAATTGGTGCAACAAAAGGAAGACTTTGGGTCCAGAACTCCAAGATCTTTTTAGAAAATTACTGCAGCATTAGGAGAGAGGTGTGATTCTGGCATCTTCCACAACATACGTATCCAGCTGCCTCCTGTTGTCAGATACAGTTATTTATTTAGCGTAGGAGTTGAAAGCTACAGATGATACCCTCTTAGCATTCCAGGATCACATTGCTAAAATTCAGCAGCAAAATTCCAATTTTCAGCAATATTTTGTTATTGGAGCATTATGAAGTACGGACGGAAAGTGTCGGGCCTTTAAGCAGCAAATACCAGTGATATAACTTGTGCTGTATAACCTTTTCAAGATTTAAAGGTGGGATGAGAGCAAAGAAGCCTCTGACTTCCTTCCCCAACTGTACAATTTCTACAAAAGTATGGAAAAAACAGATGGGAAACTTACATTCTTTTAGGGCTCATCATGTGGTGCCTGAAACCTGCTGTAAAACTGGATGTTTGAATTATTCATCTTTGATGTAATACGCAGATATTTTTCTCACCGGCTGCAGTTCTCAAGGTTTCAAGAAGAAAACTATCCTAACCCTGCAATTTAGTGTCCTTTTAATTGGACACTTTTAATTTAATTGGAAATTAGTTGGATGTGTGCAGAGATGCCATTCTTCTGCAGAGATGTGTGCTATGGTGGAGAGCTTAACTTGGGGCTACAGAATCTGTAGGCTAGATTTTATTTTTCTCAGAGTCCAGTAATGTTTGATGCTTTTTGAAGTGCTTTGAATGGAAGTTGTTAATTTATAGAACCAAATAACTGTGAAAATGGTTGTGTTTATTTCATTCCGCAAAACAAACCTGAATAGGGAAAGAGCTGTCCATTTTCAAGAGGGCTTGCAACAATATTGTCTTTGTTTATAGATTTGCTCAAATATAAAGGAAGAAACTGCATTACTCATATTACTTATGGAACTGTGATTTTGATTTTTACTTCATTATGTGAACAGACTGCCAAAATATACAGTAGGTTATTTAACAATTATTGTGGCTCCAACATTTCTGTGACACAAATGTCCTTAGTCCTAGAATAGTTGTGGCAGAAATTGTGCAGCCTTCGATTTGGCCATCCTTTTCTTGTCAGACAATGTGTCCTTGAAGATCCACAACCCCCCCCCCCCATGGTTTTTACCATCAGTGGGTAGGTTAACCTTGAGTCAATTAACCTTTCTGAACTCAGAAAATTATTGGCTTTTCTTTTTGGTCATTGTCTTGAAATTAAAGTGCTGTTGATGTTTTATCATCCAGATAAAGTGGTTTCCTATCATTTCTGTGATGCTAAGCACAATGTAGCTTCAACCTTGACTGCACTTGGATTTAGCATGTGTGACTTATGAATAACCTGAGACTGCAATAATAAAATGAAATGGATTCCTTTTCTTTAAAAAAGACCATAATTATGGCTTACATAAAATAAATTTACACAGTTTAGAAAATCACGGTGTTACACAATGTTTTAGAGCAAATGGAGGCTACAAAGTTGAAGGCAGAGAGATCCAAATTGGCTCTAATGAGGATAGCTTGATTAACTGTTGAAGTAACTTTAACTTTTAGAAGATTCAGATCACAACATACTTGATATAGAACAGGGGTGTCAAACTCAATTTCATTGAGGGCCACATCAGAGTTGTGTTTGACCTCGGGGGGTCAGAGTGGGAATGGCCAGCTCAGTGTCACTCGTGTTGGGGGTTCCTGTGGTGACCCGAGCGCTCTGACAGCAAAACGGGCTCCCAAGCTCCGTTTTCAGCTATGATGGCTTCCTGCAACCCTCTGCCAGCAAAAATGGAGTTTGGGAGTGCCACCCGTGGCCCTCGCAAGCTCAGTTTTTGGCTGCAACTGCCTCCTGCAACCCTCTGTCAGCGAAAAGAGGCCGCACGCAGCCCTACCAAGCTTCATTTTCACTAGCAGAGGCCACATGGGCTGGTCCTTTGCTGTTTCCAGGGCGGCCCTGTGGGCCAGATCTAAGCACCCCGTGAGCTGGCTCCGGCTCCCGGGCCTTGAGTTTGACACCCCTGATATAGAGGATCTAGAAAGTTTTTGAAGGGCTGATAGAAATAGGATAACAAACCAATAACAACTGGCTAAATGCATGCATGCATGCATTCATTCATTCATTCATTCAGCCATGCAAAGTAAAAGAGGACTTTGTTCAGGTGCTTCAGCAATCTTATTCAGATTCAGGTGCAAGAATCTTTGTCTGTCACCCTGTAGAAAAATTAACAGTTGGCATCCGCTGTCACAATGTTTTGAAGATGTAATGACTTTAAACCAGACACAGACACACACAAACACACACAAAGCAAAACATGTCCTTAGTCTGCAGTTTGACTTGATCTGCCAACAAGGTACTGCTGAACAGGGTCTACGACAACTTATTGTGGCCAAGTCACTATGGGGCAAGAGTTACACTATTATTGAAGAAATAGTTGATTAGAATCATTAAAGATAGGATGCCAAAGGAGGGACAAAATGAAACGTGAATGACAAAAACTAAAATAATTTTTTAATTATTTAAAATTATTGAATTATTGAATTCAAGTTGTATGTTGCAAACTGGCCATGATCAGTTGACTGTGAGGAGTGGGCCGGGGTGAGTTGGCTGTGGCAAGTTGTCCCATTCCGTGCTGAATAAGCCCCTGGTCCCCCTGGGACAATCTGGATTAAACATCAGTATGCTTTTTGTATCCATAGATTTAGCTATCAGCCTGTACCCTAAAGCAATTGGAAAATGTTTTAACAAATACAAAAATGCAAAAAGTTTATCCAGTTTCATTCCGCCTTTATCCTATATTACTTTGATATCTGCTATCAATCCAGAATCAGATGAGTCTTCATTGTACAAGGGCATCATAAACCATATTCAGGTGTGCTTCTGCTAAATCCCACAGCAGTCCATTCCCACACAGAATTAGAGTGGTTGAGTTCCCAGTCACATTTATATTAAGAGAGCACTAGTGAGTGTGAACAGACAAGACTGCAGAGAAATTATTCCCTGGCTACTGTTTTGTAACCTCTCCTAATCAAGACTGATCTACTTACATAATGCAGTTAAGCAAGTCATTTCCACAATTCCCATTAATCCTAATCCTGTGCTCTAAATCAGGGGTCTCCAACCCTCGGTCCATGGCCTGGTACTGATCAGTCTGTTGGGAACAGGCTCTGTAAGTGGTAGGTGTGCACACGATTGTGCAAAGCTCCATTTGTGGGCACATGCACGAAACCACTCCCTCTCCCTGTGCCACCGCCACCACTGCTGCCAGTCCACGGAGCTGGAAAGGTTGGGACCACTGCTCTAAATGGGCAGGAATCTTCTCTGTAATATCTTGTTGTTGTTGTTGTGCCATATCTGTCATTGGACATTGTAATCATGTTGGCGATCCTATTTTTATCAACAGCCGCACGAAAAAATGTTGAATTTTGCAACCCTGAGGATCTGTAGCAGGGATCTTTGGAGTTGTGAGCCAAAACAGCAAGAGAATGCCAGTTTGAGGAAGGCTGTTATAGGCATTTTTAAACATCTCCTCTGTGCAATTGTGTGGTATAAACTGGAATACGTCATAATTTCCTGAAATTAGACATACTCCAATTGGCAATACCAAACCAAGCATTTAAACATATTCTCACTTGCAATCTTATTCCTTGTCTTGCCTTTTTTGTAGCGTTTTCATCTTTAGTATTGGCTCATTACCCCCCTCTTGCACCCAACGTCTGC